AACATCCGAGTATATATACTAAAACTATGAATTCTCTATTTTTGAAGAGAAAATTTGTGGTTTCATTTTTTTCTTAAACACGAAAACGTGTACTGTGTGGTTTCGTTAAAACCACAACTCAACATCTTTCCGTAAATCATTTGGTATATTTGATATGTGTTTCAAGCAGTTGGCTTTATGGAGAAGGCTACTAAACTCCTGTGCAGCTGGTAAAGCTTATAGACAAGACTGTAAAATAAGCTTAGCACGATATGCATTGGGGGAGTAAAGTAGGAAGCGAACGTTACGAGCCACATGTAAATGGCTATAAATAATTGCATACTTCTTGGAGTAATAAAGACGAAGAATGCGGTTTGATTTGAGTAGTTGTGGTCCTGTGGAGTATCTCTTATATTTTATTTGTTGTTTCATCTTTTTTGAGAAAAATAAAAATCTGTACGGACAGTTCATCGTGTTCCAATCAGATTTCTTGTGGTGGATGCTTCGGGTCTGGTTTGGGTCCCCCTTCTAAATAATTTATAGTGGTCGACACTCGACAGTGTTTATTACTCTTGCACGAGGGTCCCTCTGTTCACTATTTCTTTGTATTAAGGCATACTAAAACATTCATTTATTTAAAACCCCTCAATTTTTTTTCTTTCTTTCTTTATCACGTTTTTGTTGGGAAATTAGGGAAAATAACCATTAAAAAAACTATATTTCATTAACTAATCAAAACTTCTTCTTTCCTCATTTCTTATATCTCTCTCAACCTTCTTATTATATAATAAGATTCCCAATTTTTTTTTATCATTTTCACAAATAATCTTTTTTTTTTCGTTTTGGATTTTACGGTCTAATAGAAAGATTGTGGCGACATAAATTAGTGAGGTGGATCTGCTTAATGAAGTAAGATCAGTGCATAATTAATTCAGTAAAGTTATTTATACCAAAATTCATCGTTTTTATGATTTACAAATAAACACTTCATTTATTTGATTTGGAAAGATTTTTTAAAAATCGCTTTATTATAATATATATATATATATATATTGTATAATAAATTTTTGTTTACAAGACTAAATATTTTCTATGCATTTATAGAAAAAGCATAAAAGAATTTGAATAAAAATAATAAAATGGGATAGTGGGTTGTTTTAAATAAGACATTGTATAATATCAATTTTAAATTAATATTGAATGATTATGTGGAAAAAAGAAAACAATGTGGAAGATCTTATATAATACAATATAATTTTTTCTCTCTATAAGGGTATATACTATGACATTTGGACTAATTTTATTAACATTACATTAAATTATTCGTAAATCTTTTATAATAAATCATGTATGTAACACAAACCAGTTAAAGCTTTTATAATAATAAGAAATTTTTCTTACACAATTTTTATTTAATAACAAAATTATTAAATTTAGTTATATTCATATACGTATATTATAAATATTTTTAAATTATGGAAGGTAAATAAATACAATAATAAATATCATATCAAATTCATGATATATATTACTTCATTTAAATATCTAGTTTTACTAATTTTATATTTAAATAAAACATTATTTTTAAATAACTATAAAATTTTATTAATAATCATTTAAGATTTACATGTGTGAAGAAATTAAAAAGTACACAAATTACATCATAAACTAAAAATACAACATTTTAAAAAAAAACAAAATATAATTAATAAATTTGATTATGCTAATATATTTGTACCATATATAAATAAAAAACAATCTTATAAACCAGAGATCCACGAAAATAGCCTGTTAACTTTCTCAAAGGTTGTGGAAGTCCCCTTGGTCCAGTGGTTTGACTAAGGGTTCATTAATGCTTCTACACCAGCAGGTATGGGTTTTGAATCCAGAGAAGACGGAATTATGCTAATTAATGGAGAAAATGCTTACAATAAATCTGCAGCATGGCACAAGGAGTACCGTCAAGCGGGGATCCGATAGGGCGGAGGTGATGCAGTCAAGCATGCGTGAATCCTCATAAGACATGTATATAATTGTCGGCTGTTGAATCGTCTGTAACATTTCTCGTAGTTTGTAATAGCATAATTATCCAATGTTAAAAAAAAACTTTCTCAAAGGTAAATCACCACGGTAATACAAAACAAAAAACAAGCGCAAACAACCATATGTTTGAGTTTCAAATATAACTATTACGAGAAATTTTACTCAGCTTTGTAGTAAATGTTTGATGCATTAACTAATCCACCTATGCTATCCTACAACGTTACCACTAAACGGTGAGGCTTACGAAACGGCGGAAGAGGTGGGAGTCAGCGTTTAGGGTTAAGGAAGAACCCGAATCTAGTTTTCCCTTTTTTGATCTACGGTGAATCCTTGTCGGTGACGGCGCGTGTCTCGGTGTGACACCTCCTCTACCATGGTTCTTCAGTCCTTCGTGGCGATGAGTCCATCAGAGGAGAGATTTAATGGCGAGCAATTAGGTTTTGTTGTCTGGTTCTCGGAGATAACATGGACTATGGTCGGCTATGAAGGAGTGGTCAATCGGAAGAGACTACTTTTCGACTGTTTGTGGTGGTGCATCTGCATCCCAACGCCGGAACGACCGGTGGCACGAGACCCACACTACTAGTAGCTTGGATCTGGTTTTACTGGCGCACGTTAGTTACCGAAGCCCGTCTTTTTCAGTCGGACAAGTCTGTCCGTTTCAGGCAACGAATACCGGTGACCCTAAGTTAGTATGATACCGCACCTCTAGTGTAGATGCTATTGGGACAAGCATATCACTCCGATCATGAGGGACATTAGCTTAGTAAGAAATGTATTTTCAGACTAGATTTTGTGTCATTGTGTTAAGAGTTGTTCTCGTGTCATGAGGTCTAACTAGGGGTCGAAGGGATGATGCGCTTCGGGTCGTGGAGTGCTATCTATCCCAGTGGTATAACAATGCAATGATGTTTCAGTTAGCTAACGTTGGCTCAAACTCAGTGACTCAAGGTGATAGTAGACTACATCATTGTATTTGGTTGAAGTTTGTAGAGGTCTAAAACCTTTGTACTAAGATTTGGATGAATGAATGAGATGTTGAGTTTTTAAAAAAAAAAACGCTACCACTAAATTACTACTCTCAATAAATCATTTCATTAATTCACATATAACTCAAAAGAAACGTTTTCTGTCATTTACACAAATATAAGAAGTTAGTGACCTTCACTACAATCCAACAACCTTTTCTAAAATCTATATTTCAAAATAAATGTAAATCAGTCACTTTCAACATAAAAAACTTCCTTACAAACTCTAAACAGACTCTGCCAACCAACTTGGGAACTCTTCATCCATATGAATGACGAAAGACGATTGCTTCCTGGCACTGCGCGCCAAACCGTCCGCCTTTTGATTCAGTGTTCTTGGTATATGAATGATCTCTGAGTGCGTAAAGCTTTTTTTGGAGGGTTTTAATATCGTTCAGATAATTTGCGAAAGTTGGCCATTCCTCCGGTGTCCAAACCATCTTAACCGATTGAATACAATCTGTCACAAACGTTATATGATACTGACGTAAATTCATCATGCTCTTCTTTGCCCAATGAGCGCCTCCATTTTCGAATGCAATGGAGAAATACTTGCTTTTGTGTTCAAAAATCAAAACAATAATGTCTATAACACTATGACAGTTTAAGTCACACCTACTTTTTTGCCACTAAACAATATATTATTGTTGTAACTTTCACATATTATTTTCATCAAAATACTTACTCAACGAAATTAAAATTTATTATATATACAAAAAATTCAAACTTAATTAAACAATATATCACAACTATAAGAACTCAGATACAATTCAAAAAGATGATATTGATTCTTAACTGCTTATCCAAGTCCAATGACTTAAACTTATCACAAGTATTATAACGTTAACTGTAAACTAAATTTCACAGTTAGATTAACATATTAAGGATTACATTTGATAAAATAGATTTTAATATAAAATATGAAAGAAATAAATTATGCAATATGCACGGATCGATCACTAGTTAAAAATATAAAAGAGGATGTTTATATGAAACCATGGTCTAATGTGAGACATACTTAAATAAATATGAAATTAATAGGTAGCCACTGTTTTCGAAAATTTTACACCGAATACGACCAATTAGTTACCAGAGTGTATATGACAAAGTGAGACAACTCAGTTTATGCTTCCCTATAAAAAGAAATTCCCCACTGACCCAAACAAACACTTCCTCTCATTGGAGACTTACAAATCCTATTTCCTCACCATATCCAATAACCACCACACACACAAACCAATATCTAAATAATAGTAATAATAATGAATAAAAAAAACTTTTTTCCTTTCCAAAAATAATCATTTAAGAAACCCCATCATGTTGAGTAAAATTATTAAATAATAAATCCCTCCCTGAAAATATCTCATCTTCACCAATCAACACCCTCTCATGTCTACTTCTCTCCTTGACAAGTGACAACTGAGGTGAAAAAATTAAAATTTTATATATTCCCCTAGCTTTTTTTCTTTATTTATTTTTTTCTTCTTTATGAGTTTGTGATTGATCCTATTAACTCTGTATTTTTTCTTGTTGATTCTTCATCTAGATTTAGCTCTCTCAAAGATTTTAGTTTCTTTACCTTTCAAATCTTCAAAAACTAGGGTTTTTACTGTCTTCAAAATCATATTATTCTTCTTTTTTTTTTGGTCAAAAATCATATTATTCTTCTAAATTTAGCAAAAAGAACACATTTTTCTTTCCATTTCAGTCGTCTTGTCACTCTCTCTCTCTTCTTTAAAGTCACCCTTTTTAGCAAAACCTCTCTCTCTCGATTTTTTTCCTTCTAGGTTCTTCTTCCTCTCTCTCTCTCTCCTTTCTCTCTGTAATCATCACTCATTCTTGAATCTTAATTCAAGACCTTCCTCCTGTTCATCAAGTTAACCCCTTTCTTGGGTTTTCGGATCAGTTTAAAGTTATATCCCTAGGGTTTTTTTCTTTCTTTTCTTGACGATGGCAAGAGAGAAGATTCAGATCAGGAAAATCGACAACGCGACGGCAAGACAAGTAACGTTCTCAAAACGAAGAAGAGGACTTTTCAAGAAAGCTGAAGAGCTCTCCGTTCTCTGCGACGCCGATGTTGCTCTCATCATCTTCTCTTCCACCGGAAAGCTCTTCGAGTTTTGTAGCTCAAGGTCTTACTCTCTAACTTCTCTATGAATCTATATTTATATTTGTCATTAGATTTCTCCAAGTCTTCGAGGGAAACGTCTCTAGATCCAGATAAAAGCTCACGAGTTTTTGGATGTATAAGTTTACTGTATATCTAGATGTATAAGTTTTTTTTTGGTAATCATATCTAGATGTATAAGTTGACTGTATATCAAACCTTATTGGACCACTAACTTTTTGTATAATCAATATTAATGACCAAAAATGACATTGCTGATAAAACTAGTAAACTCTTTATTTAGTCAAAATAAGGTATCAAGTACAGTAATATTCGAGATGATCTAAATCTTAATCATCTGCACAAAATGCTCTATTTATTTGTGTTGCTTAAATCTGTGTAAACACTATTAATATATATATATATATATACTATACATATTTATGTGGATGTGTGAAATTTTGGGAATTTTTTTTTTAAATAAGTGATTAATAAAAATTATAAACTTGTTGGGATTTTTACTAGCGTTAGAAAACGTCAGAGGTTTTTGGATATGTTATAGATATTGGGAATCTAAAAATGACTTATCATATCATAAAGATACGATTTTGGATTTCTGACCCACGGGTTATCAGTTTAGTTCCTATCTTCCGCGGCATCTATACAGTGTACACACGCTCACATATATATATATCCACACATGTATAACATGAAATAATATCTGTCTCAGACTTAATTTGTGTTTTTTGAATCTAGGTTTTGTATCAACAATGTTGCTGTTTATAACTTAGTAGTAGATTATTTAAAATCTTATATAATAAAGTACTTACTGGAATGAATGTGTTTGTATTATATTATGAAGCATGAGGGAAGTACTAGAGAGGCATAACTTGCAGTCAAAGAACTTGGAGAAGCTTGATCAACCATCTCTTGAGTTACAGGTTATCTTTGCAATTCTGTTAATATTATTATCCTTTTCAGATTAATGTATCGTCATGTGCATATATTTTTTTATCAAGAAGCTTAAAAACACTATATTAATAATAGGATAAAAAGCACTCTACATTTTAGTGACACTGAAGTCATACTAAAGTTATTGATCCATACAAACTAAAA